ATTACCTCATACAACATCAGAATAGTGATGCAGTGGATTCCAGGTCACTCCGGCACACCAGGTAATGACAGAGCTGACAGATTGGCAAAGAAAGGAGCAACACAAGAACAACCACCAACAGCGACAACCCTACAGACAGCAAAAACACTAATAAGAGCTATAAAAAAAGAGACTTGGTTGAACAGATGGGCCATGGGAGACACTGGAAGAGAGGTTTATAGACATATGTCTGGCCCTGATCCTAATGACAGCAGTAACCATCTAACAAGAAGGGACCAGGCCACCATATTCAGACTTAGAACGCAACATACTCCACTCAATGGACACCTAAACAGAATACAGCCACAACACTCCCCAGAGTGCCAGCTATGTAACTACCCCTACGAAACTGTTGAACACCATCTCTTTGAGTGCCCAAAACTCAGTGAGACAAGAAGAACGCTACTCCCTCCGAGACCAGACAAGTGGAACACCTTGTACGGAGGAAAAGAACAGCTTGTGAAAACATGAAAATTCCACTACATGGCATTGGGCCAAAGGGCGAAAGCTCATGCGCCGCTGGATCGATAACAACAACAACAACAACCCGTAACTGCTGCAGGCTGCAGAAGCTGTCAGATCAGAAGAGCAGTGCTCTATCTGTCCGCCCGTCAGAGCTTCCCTCCTAGACCAGCTGCCAGCCAAGGTTAAGGGCCTGGTCTGCCCTGTCATAACATAAAGTTTTCAGGCTTCATTTCCTCTTCCTAGGATAAGGCTAGTATCCTCCCAAAAGCCCTCCTCCGTACAAAGCCATTGGACAATAAGGGTTGTTAGGTTAGGTATATGCCGCCCAACATTCGGCGTAACAGAAGTCAGGTGGTACCGGCTACTGTTATACGGTAGCTCAGTCATATCTGACCAAGACCTGACACCAACATATATATATATATATAAATTGCGAACAAGATATAGTAACAAGAATGGGAAGTTACTGTCATCTAAAATAGTTTTAAAAGGGTATGAAATTGTAGGGAAGAGAAAAAGGGGGTAAGAAAGAACAAATAGTTTATGTCAGCTTTATTAAATCGATGACAATAAACAATCAAAGGACGTTGCGGCGATTAGCCTTCATCAGCACATAAAGAACAACATAGTACACATACACAAATATGCACTATGAGGTCGAATATATACCGAAAAGGTTCAGAACAAAAGTATACTTTTTTGATGTAGTCATCAGACTCAGCACCACTCTCAACCACGTCCTTCTCATCACCTACGCAAACAAATGGGTGGGGGCTCTGGCCTTTAAAGTGCTCCCCCCCCCACCCCCCACCCCCCCACATTAGGTAAAAAACCATAGGGAGACCCTCAAACCACGCGCTGCTCACCAACATACAAATTGTGTAGGCAAATAAATGGGTGGAGGCGGAACTCAGGTCCCTGAGTGCCCCCCCCCCCTCTCCCCTTTTTTTACCACCCAATAACTGTGTAAGGGGGCTAAGATGCATGTATAGAATTTAATTTGAAAATATTCCTTTAAAATGTACATATTATTTCAAGTAGATGTTATTATATTTATTTGCCATTCAGCACATTGTTATTTCTAAGCATAGTACAGAGAGTCTCTCAGTATTCTCATAAAAATATAAAGGAGGGGAAGGGGCCTCGAGGGGACAGCCAGGTTCCTATGTGAACAACACATTTTCTGTCATCACACCAGACAATTTATCTGACCCCAAACCGGCTGGGTTATTTTTTGCCCATAAATTCCATAAAAACATATAGTCTCTAACTGCCTTACTATCATTGTTAATTAGAGCAAACAGTGCAGACTCAATATCATTGATACAGGCTGGTTTTCTTGTAGATTCTATTTGTAGTCAGGTAAAATAGCCGCCTTTATATTAAATATAAGCCACTTTCAGTAAAGAGCTAATTGTTGGGGGGCGTTCATCCCTTCTAAAAAGTGTTGGGGGAGCTAAAATGACCTGAGCTCCAGTGACTGTGTTGGTCATTGCTACGTTCAATGCTTGTCCTCCAGCTTCAATAAAGTGCTTGGATTCTTGTTGAAAACTATTCTCATGTACCATCTGCTGTATCTCTTCATCGGATCGTAAAGTTTTTCCCCACAATAACTCTTTGAGTGGTCCAAACAGGTGGAAATCACTTGGGGCTAGGTCTGGTGAGACCTTGGATATGGTACACATTGAAAGGGGAGGTTTTCAATGATTTCAGCCATTACACAGGCACTATAGGGGTCAAGCGTTGTCATGTTGCAAAATGACCCCTTTACTCAAAAGTCGACCTCGTTTAGATTTTATTGCGGGTCGAAGATGATTGCCGAGAAGATCTGCATACGTATTAATGGTGACAGTTTTACCTCTTGGCATGAAGTGCCTCACTGATCCCAAAAGAGTTAGTATAACCTTTTCTGTAGATGGCAGTATGCAAAGCTTCGTTATTTTCAGTAAATTAGAATGGTTTCATTTCTTTCTTGCTCTCTTCATTTCCAGCTCTTGGTAGTGAAACTAGATTTCTGTAAACGTTCTTGACAAGCATCCATGCGTCCTTGTTTCACTTCTGGAGTAAGTACTGTAGCACATCATGGGTGATGTGGTGTTCTGAACCTTGACTGATGTCAAGATGTGCAGCAGAGTCACTTGCAGTCAACAGGTGATTTTCCTGTTCAAGGTTTTCAACCTGCAGCCAACTATGGAGTCACTACTCGGTGTGCTTGATGGAGTTGTCAACTGTGACAGAAGTCATGTAATTTTGAAACTTCCTACTCCACTCATACACTTCCTGGACTGACAAGCATTCATAGCCATACTGGACCTTTGTTTGCCGATGAATTTCTATAGGTGACGTTATCCACCTTTACATTCTCATTTATTTTTGTCCAGCCAATCAATTGAAATAGAACCAAACAAGAATAATAAGTTACTCATAACATGAACTCTTTAAAAATTTAATCAGTAGCACAGTAAATATATACATCATTGTTAAAGTTATTACCTATCTTTAATTTTGATTTTTCGATGTTACTCTAATTGTCCTTAACCATGGCTGACAGCTGGTCTAGGACCGATAGGCTAAAAAAGGCAAAAAGACAGGCAGATACACACACACATGCAGAGAGAGAGAGAGAGAGAGAGAGAGAGAGAGAGAGAGAGAGAGAGAGGGAGAGAGAGAGAGAGAGAGAGAGAGGGAGAGAAGGGGGGGGGAGAAGAGACTTTCTGTTTCACACAGTTGTTGTTGTAAGTCTTTCTATACAAGGCAAATCTTATTTCAAGCAATACATTTCTAGAATGAAAGTGATAATATGACCGAGCAGAAGTTAAATAGCAACCAGGGGAAGGCAGATAAACTTTTTGGTCCCAAGCAACATGTGATGTGTGACCGGTACTTCTCTATTAATCCTCGTCATTGTGAAATGTATCTTCTTAATTTTTTTAGAGCATACTAAATAAATCTGGCTTCCTAATTGATCACTTCAACTGTGTATGTATACTTTTTGAAAGCAATGTCCTCAAATTTATGTTATGGTTATTTCTCCAACTTAAGCATCTACAAGGGAACTTTCTGAGACCAAAAGAGATAATGTGACCAAGAATAACCTGAAGGAGTTTGGAAAGTTATCTAACAAACTTCCTTAAAAGTCTAAAAACATCTGGCTGAAAGAAAGGAAACAACAGACTGCACACAAATAGTCAGATCTGCAAAATGATGTACATTCAAATGTGAAGTTCTGGAAAAATGTCACAACTGAGAAATGCACGGACAACTAGGATTTTCTGCTGAAGTTTAACAATTGATGAACGTAAAAAAAAAAAAACCTCAGCAAAAACATATCTAATGTAAAAACAAAACAAAAGAGTCAGTGTTAGTGGCTTAGAGGATGTGAATGGAATGTTACAATCCAAACATACCCAGGTTCGAAGTCAGCTGCAGACAGTTTTGTTGCAGATTTCTTTGTGTTTATATGAAAATATTATGAGCATCATACCATTCAGAGAGCAACAGCAAAATAATTAAACACAAAACTGACCAATAAAACACATGACAGCCAATAAGTGCTGAAGATGGCTTGTAAAATCCTGTTAAGGTTAGGTAACTAACTTTTTGTTTCACAGTGGTAAACAATGAGTTAACAATTTCCTGGACCAAAGGTCACAAAAGTATGAGATAGCAACTAATGCACCTTTGTAAGCTATCTGAAACAGAATTGTTAACCCTTTTGCACTGCAGGCTGCTAATCGGGCACTTCCATCTGTGGCAAATTCTTATAAATGCATTTAACCTGCACTATTGCAGTGACCTGTCCATCAGAAACCTAATGAATGGCAGTGGTTCTGTTTCTGCTTGTGTAGTGTTTAGGAAGCTCTGGACATGACTATATTTATGAAAAAGTAGCATGGGGAAAAAATGGGGTGTGGGGAAGTACAATCTTTCTTGTGAAAAACGACTTTTTTATTTAAAAGGCCAATATGATATCATACTTTACCCTGACTTAATATTTATGTAGTGACAAGGTCACAGAGTCATGTATGAATCACCATACACATTTTTAGACACAAGGAAGTGAAATCTGTTTATTTCTCTGCTCCATTTGTAGATATTGATTACTCCCTTCCTTTTCATTATATTAAAAATATAAAAAATTATTGTATCAATCAATTAAAAAAAAAATTGTTTATTAGTCACCTGTATTCTATTGAAAGCATTTTTTAAGGACTTACATAGTTTTGGTTTTTTTCTCATGGGGTCTGGAAAAAGGGTTAAAGAAAAAAGCTCATTATCTCTTAAAATCTTAGACACTTGTTACTTCAATCTGTTTTATCCTTAAGTGTGAGTAAAATAAATTAAGATTCTTAGCCTAAAAGGGTGGAAAAACTACCACCATGAGAATGAATGGAAAAAAGTAACATTAGAATGGGAAAAAAGAAGTACACCAAGAAATGTACACAGTGTTAAGAGAAACTATAAACATATAGTGTGTTGTTTTGGTACTCAAAGAGTTAATCTATTACTTTCTTGACTCCAGATGGCAGAAGATTAGGTCTTAGTTTAGCTTTGATTTTCAAATTTGTTATCTCCTGAATATGTCTCCTGTGTTCACGAGCGCTGTCCTCCAGCCTCTTCTGTGATCTAAGCAGCATTTCTGTAGCAATATCCTGGATGCTGGCTGTGGAACAGCACAGTGTAATTAATTAGGTGCAAAAACAATACATTAAGACTTTTTTTAAACCTACTCATAATTATCACCTTGTCAACTGGCGTGGTTGATATGCCTCTCCACAATCTGCAGTCTTCAACAACAAGAATATAAGTTTGTGAGCGGATACCCCTCCATGCCATGTCAGAAAGCTGGCAAGAATTATCTCATGTTATCTTCCTCTGTCTTCCTCGGATCTTTCGAGTGATCACAACATGCTCCAAATTAACCATAACTCATAACTTTGCACGCTGTAAATAAATAAATGTGTGCTGTTTCCTTAACGGAGACTGTCTGCAGTGCACACACTGCTGTCCGTGGGAATAATATGTGGTGTGGCCCCTCATTTTTTTTAATGGTGTGATTCTCTTACCACTGTCTGAAAGTCATGAGGACAATATTTTTCTAAACCACCCACTGCAGTAATCTAGCTAAGGTAACATTTATATTCCATAACTAATTAAATACCTCAGGCTAAAAATAACTGCTGAGAACTATAACTGAAATGAGCAGACAACAGTTTTTCTTTGGAGTTTATACAGTAAGAAATGGCAAACTACTGAATTTAAAATGTGCTTAAAATTTAGAAATGCCTAGAAAAATTACAACAGTCAAAATAATGCTGGGGTTCGTTCTGCAACATCCTGTTAAGGATAAGCAACTAGCTTATACAAGGTCCGACAATTAAGTAATGAGACTGATTTTATTACGGCCAAGACAAATGTGCCATCTATGAAGCAAAACATTGAATTCAAAGAGGCAACCTTCATCTATGATTTGGCAACTTTGCATTGCCGCCTGGTAAGCAGACGACAAACAAGCCGCCATTTTATTGGCCTAGTTAGATGTGCATCGTTACAAAATCAGCATGAAGCAAAAAGCTAACATTAAATTCTGTTTAAAACTCAGAAAAAGTGCCACTGCAACAATTCAATTGATGCCACAAGTTTGTGGGGATAATTGTTTATCTACTGCACAGATTTTCAGGTGGTATTCACGATTTAAAAGTGGTGTAGAAATGATTACTAATGCAACTAGACCTGGACACCCAATTTCTGTTTGTAATGATAAACTCATTGCAAAAGTCACAGAACGAATACAAGAAGATTGTTGTTTTACGGTCAGGATGATGGTAGATGAATTTTGTGTTAATAGAGAGACCCTTTGTAAAGTTTTAGTGCAAGATTTTGGCCACACACAAAAATTGCTTGCAGATTTGTACCGCTTTCATTGTCTGATGACCAAAAACATCAGCAGGTTGAGTATCCATAAAACATCATCAAAACGGGAATCGTTTGCCCCAAAACAAGTGTGTGTTCTCAACCATCCACCCTATTCTTCAGATTTGTCTCTATGTGATTATTTTCTATTCCCAAAATTAAAGTTACCATTGAAAGGACATTTTTTTTGACGAAATCGATGGCATCCAAAGGGCCATAATGTCGACTTTAAGGGCCATAGCAACAAAAGAACTACAGAGGTTGTTTCAGTGTTTGTTAGATCGTACTACTCATTGTATCAATGCACAAGGGGCTTACTTTGAATAAAATACAGGTTATATCTCCAACTGTTGATTTTTTAAATTTTTATGGAATTAGTCTCATTACTTAATTGTCGGACCTTGCATAAAGTAAATAACCCTTTTCATGCCTGACACATTACGCATATAGTGCAAGATATATTTTTATAGAGCATTCAGCTCTCAGTGAGTGATCTGATCAATATCATGCCTTTTCTTTTACTTAAGACTTTGTCTGGTATCCATTTTAGGCTGGGACAAGCAGGGAGTAGAGGCCAATTGTGACAAAAGTCCACCTTGATGCAGATTTAAATCCTAGACCTTTGAGCATATAGACAAGTTTCTCTGGACTGAGCAAAATGATAACTAATGGTAAGTTGAATGAATAAACAGATATATTCAAACATAAATGTGCTGCACTTGTAGACTATCTCTGATTCACCAGATGGTTCTTTATTCCCTGACTTCAGGATTCCTTTTATATGTCCATTATGTTCTTTATAACACATCCGTAGAACTATATCTCTGTAAGTAAGAAAAGATCCTCTCACTCCACAGTTGCATTTTCTGTGCTGATTTTATAGACCCCTAATGCAAGACTTGTGCTGTACATTCATGTTGTGCGCCTTGAGTAAAAACCCATGTCAGTGTGAACAAAGATGGCAGGGGATTTTAGAGTTGGTGGCTCCCAAAGATGCAGTGTCTAGACAGTCTCTGACACTCATCAGCCCACTTGCAACGCAAGGGTGACAACAGCAATAGAGATCTTATTGTTCAACAAATGAAGTTCATGGCCTGAGCCTCCTACTACACAAATTATCTAGATGTCTTTCGACTGAGAGTCCTGCTACATGATAACAAAAGGTTAAGATTGGTTACAGCCATCCTAGAGACAGAACTGATGATTCCTTCGTTGGAGTGCATCTGCCTAACGGCCAAGGAAACTACAGAAATACATGCAAAACCCAGGTCCTGGAAAAAAACCAAGTGCAAAAGTGGATGAAAATCCAGGATTTTCTGCCAGAGTTCACAGCTGGTGAAAGCAAACAAGCAGACAAGAGGGATCCAGGCACATAACTAACTGTTGGCCACTAAACTATCACATCTTCACTTCAGAATAAACAAAAGATTCAACTATGTATATATATGTATATATATGTATATATATATATATATATATATATATATATATATATATATATATATATATATATATATATATATATATATATATATGTGTGTATATATAACTAAACATACTTTTAATTGGAGGAAGCTGCTTATATGCCAAACACTGAAGATCAACAGGGGGAACTGTGCCATCATCTTTCTCCTTTGCACCATTATCCTCCAATTCCCCATCAGTGCCAGCATACATGTTTCCATTATAAGAAATATCAACACCATCGAGTTGCTTCAGTTTTGGTAAGGCTTGTATCAAACTGGCTCTACCATAAAATATGTGTAGGAAGAAAAATGTAATACAACTCACTGTACATTTACTGTACCCTTCTTACATCATACACTATTCTGAGTGCATTGTTCTGCATCAAGTTGCCCATTACCCAACTTCTTCTTCTTTTATCATCTCACTGATACCAGGCTGTAGCCCAGACTCGTGGTTTTCTGTATTTGTCTTGGGCTTTTCAGGTGGCTTGGGTGATGGATCTGTTTATTATTTTGCAGGTTTCGGTTATACCATTTATCCATCTCTTTCTTGGTCTTCCTCCCACATGTTCTGTTGTAAAACGTCTTATATGCAGTTATGTCTGGCTGCATTCTCACTAGGTGACTGAACCATTTCATTCTTTGTCGGTCAATATAATTCAGACATGGTCTTATTCCAACTTCCTCTCTAATGCTGGTATTCGTAACCCTGTCTCTTTTCACATGTAGTTATTTTCTGTTCTAGTACCCTATTCATTGTCCATGTTTGGAACTGACCCAAAAAAAAAAGTTGGGATAAAGACGCTATTAACTATTTTATGTTTTGCTGAAAGGTAGACAGAAATAAAGTCTGTCCATTTATTTTCTGCACTGTAGATTCAAGCTGTGTGAAAGACCTGGCTAATGATGAAAATTTTTTTTTTCAATGTTGAGTTGGTCATTGTTTATAAACAATTTTTTTTTTCAATGTTGAGTTGGTCATTGTTTATAAACAATTTTTTTTTCAATGTTGAGTTGGTCATTGTTTATAAACAATTTTTTTTTCAATGTTGAGTTGGTCATTGTTTATAAACAATTTTTTTTTCAATGTTGAGTTGGTCATTGTTTATAAACAATTTTTTTTTTTCAATGTTGAGTTGGTCATTGTTTATAAACAATTTTTTTTTCAATGTTGAGTTGGTCATTGTTTATAAACAATTTTTTTTTTTCAATGTTGAGTTGGTCATTGTTTATAAACAATTTTTTTTTTCGGAAGTGGGAAGTGGGGACCTGTCATAATTTGGAGGCGACAGGTTTAACTTCCAACATGGTAACTTGAGCTTTTGATTTTTTTTTTAAATGTTGTCTGGTGTGTTCTTCTATCTCTCTATTTCCTTCTACTATTGTCAGTCAAAACAGGTTTATTTGTTTATAATATACTTATATTTATCAATACTTATACTTATCACATCTATATCATAAACTGGTGAGGAAGGCAACACACCTGCAGGCTTATTGAAGTCCAAACTAAGCATGTTTAGGTTGTTAAACTGCATATACAAATGATAAGCTATTAAAGCTGTCACTGGTAAAACTGAAATATAATCCATAAATCAAAATGTGTGGCATCTGATAGCAAATATGAATGATAGAAAGTCATCTCAATTCTAGTGAATTATTATGTAATTTGTACAGTACCTGTAGGTTGGTTTTTCAACACAAGAGTTTCCTTGAAGGTTTAAAATAATTAATGACTTTGGAAATTCATCTGTAAGTGCAAAAACATTTTTTTTTTTAAATTACAACAGATTTAGTATTATTTCAATTTATTATAAAGATAATATACATGCATATTCTGCACATTTATGATAACTCTAGTATCTGAAATCAAGTGTGATAAAGTAAGACTAACTCTTATTGTACTTTTGACAATGACAGAATACACTGTGGCACATACTAAATATCTAATCTGACTGCTTTTACATACTACGACCAAGTATAGCATATTTAATACAGTGTTTGATGGCCGGAGACATTGAAAAAGACATACAAGATTGAAAAAGATCTGGCAAGATTTGGATTTTAAAATACTGTCATGCAAATAAATAAGATAAACTGTTGAAAAAAAACACTACTAAAATATCTAAAACTATTTTTAAAAAAAGAAACAAAAAGGCATTTTGAGATTCTTGTTCAGAAGCACCAGCAATGGCCCCAACTACACTAGCATCACAGTTTCTGAATTTGTAAATGGAGAATTTATGAACTTGGGATTGTTGTGTTAAAAGTAAAATATATTGCAGATTTTGTCGTTGCTACAAAAGTGACAATGGTGGGAACAATCATACTGGACAAGGCTGGCAGTCTGAAGACAACTGCTGACGGAAGATATGTTAGATGAAACAACATGTATAAGGTTGCGTGAATTTTTTAATTAAGTGTGGATCCAGCAAGAAAGGGCGAATGAGAGGAAGAGCACAATGTGTGTACAACCAGTGTGCTGATGGAACAGTCAGCATTTACATCTTAAGACATTTGCTGCAGAAGATGAAGCATCTATGGATATGCCTGGTTTGCTATAAAGTTGATCCTTAAACCAGTTATCAGAAACTTTAGATTTGATAAAAGCAGCAAACAAGATTTTTCTTATAGCTCATGCTGTGTGGCGTTTGTAGTCATGTTTGTTGTCATACCTTCTGTCTCATGTATTTTCAATCAAAATGCCACAATGTTGAATTGTCCAATATTTTCTCTTCTTTTTCTGTCTCCCTCTGCCTCTTTTCCTCAATAACTTTTCCATCATCATGATCAAAGAACACAGACTATCGCCTTCTGACAGTTTTCTTCATGATTAAATTTCTTTCAAGACATCTTCATAACTTTTTTTTTAAAAATCTGTCCTGGATGATCTTCTCATTCTTCTAAAAACTACATTACCGCCCTTCCACATAATTTTAGCAACATGATTAAGTGAGGATGACCAATTCAGAACCAGAAATTGGTAAGCAATTATTGTCAAAATTCATTTTGCTATCTACTGATAGAAAAAAAAAAACGCTAAAAGAAAATAATGTTGCAAAATCAAAAATAATTATTTTGGGTAGTAACTTCTTCAGAATAGTGGAAATTATTCCTAACATGATGTTGGTATTCTATAATGACAAATAATCAAATGTAAATTAAAATACCTACCACCTGTGACAACATCAATACAGTTTTCAGAAATATCCAGAAATACTAACTTCAGTAAATGAAGTATTCCTTCCACTTTTGTGATCTTATTGTTTGAAAGTACTAAAACCTGTATTAAACAAAATAAAATTAATGCAACTATTGTAAATTGATTTACTGTGTAAATAAAGTCAACATGAATAAATTAGCTGGAATATCTGAGGCCAAGGTAGCACAAACCAAGTTTCTAACCCGAAGCCTCTTCAAAACTGACACTAAAAGACAATACAGACTAGAGAAGAAGAGGAAGAAAACTGAGTAAAACAAGTAATTACACTATTAATAATAAAATGTTAAAAATATAAAACATTTTTACTAAGTAATTAGATGCTAGCCTGAGGAAAATTATGATTTTACAGTTTTGAGAAACTGTAGTACATTTTTATTATTTTTTCAAGAATGACCATTTTTCCTGTTTGTCGTAGTGGGTGTATAACGCAGGACACATGTTTTGATAGATCAATTAGTGCTCACTGAGTGAGGTGATGAGCATCCCACTGGCCAGCTTTACTTTCCTAGACATATGCTGCCAATTTTAGCCTATAGTTGATTTAAGGGAAACAAATGACCACTATGTTGACTGGCAAACAGGCAATAGAGCTCTAGATTTAAAAAAAAAAAACACACACACACACACCTGATTTATTTACTTGACTGATAATGTAAGTTTTTTTTCATCAAACACTTGAACAACTCAAGACAGAGAGGAGAGACTACAGGAGAAATACATGTAGAAAAAAATGGTGTACTGGATCTAATTAAGCATACCTGTAAGTTTGGCAAACATTCAAGGTTTTCAATGTGCCTAATTTCATTACATTGAAGATATAAATTTATGACAGCAGCACTGAGAAGTTCTAAACTGTCAATCTTTCCAATATTTTCACGATCCAGGCGAACTCTTTTGATTTTATTCAGTTCTTCAATGCTGAAAAGTGTGATAAGATTTGCTATTAATCAGTGAACCAACAGCTCATAATTTAAAAATTTATGGAAATGAATAACAACATTCTGCAGTATCGAAGAAAACTGGTTCATAAAAATGTCATCTCAGAAATTAAAATATTTTTTTTTGCCAGCATCAAAATACCTGAGTGATTTTGAAAAGGAAAGAAATGCAATGGAAGACATGGTTCCTGTCCTCAAAGTTATCACACACAGCATGGTTACAGGCCTCAAAGTTATCACACACAGCACGGTTACAGGCCTCAAAGTTATCACACACAGCACGGTTACAGGCCTCAAAGTTATCACACACAGCACGGTTACAGGCCTCAAAGTTATCACACACAGCACGGTTACAGGCCTCAAAGTTATCACACACAGCACGGTTACAGGCCTCAAAGTTATCACACACAGCATGGTTACTGTCCTCAGTTATTGCACACAGCATGGTTACTGGCCTCAAAGTTATCACACACAGCATGGTTCCTGTCCTCAAAGTTATCACACACAGCATAGTTTATGTCCTCAAAGTTATCACACACAGCATGGTTACTGGCCTCAAAATTATCACACACAGCATGGTTACTGGCCTCAAAGTTATCACACACAGCATGGTTACTGGCCTTAAAGTTATCACAAACAGCATAGTTACTGGCCTCAAAGTTATCACACACAGCATGGTTACCGGCCTCAAAGTTATCACACACAGAACATAATGATTATGTTTTTTTCATTTAATAATACAGTGTCTGGTGGTGATAAATATACTTTTCTGGCAAATTATGTAGGCACACTAGTTTAATTTAATTCAGTTATGCCTGTATATAATATTCACAATGTGGGGACATGTATCAAGAAGTGCCCAAAAAGACAATGCTTAGATTTTATATATTTTCTAGCAAGCTGCCTGTTTGAAACCTTAAGTGATGGGACTCTGAGATATGTCTATTTGTCTCTTCAAAAATATTCCATACTGTTGTTAAATTATGAGTTCAAACTTTGTGTGATGCTCTCAGCAGATGGCTAACATTCATGATTTTGAACTTTAAAATAAAATTGTACTTATAAAACTGAATATTTTGCCTTGGTGAAATTTAAAAAAAAATACAATTCAACAATTTACAAACAAAGCTCTAAAACTACATAGACAAATGTGGCATGAGTGGATACCAAGTGTCAGCATGTCAAGGTTGCAGGGACTCACATGGATATACTGTCCAGGATATGAAGGAGTGTGTGGGAATGAAATAATTGATCGTTTGGCTACAAAAGCCATAGGTATAGGAACACTCATAATGGACAAAGGAGACATACTGAAGTATATTTATGAATGAATTTTGAAAGAAGACATGAGATTAAATGAAATAAAATAATTAAGATTGCCTGAACATGGAATTAACAGTGGATCTGGCAGGCGGGGATGTATGAGAGGAAATGAACAACGTATGTATAATCAATGTGCTACGGGAATAGCCAGCATCTATATCTTAAGATATTTGCTCCGGGAGATGAAGCATCTATGTGCTATGTCAGTTCTTAAATCAGTAATTAGTACAACATTTGGTTATTCAATACCAGTAACATTAATATTTACTTTAAACTATTCATATTTAAAATTATTTTATTTTCAATTTTAATGCTACGGTAGCTACCTGCTTAAAATCATCAACATAATTTAGTTAACTTTTAATTGAAGGTAGTGAAGAATAACAAAAGGTATTAAAATGGTAAATAAATGCACTGAGGAGGTGAGGATTTCGAGGAAAATCCTCACAATAAATACTGATGTTTTTTAGGTTTTGAACGGATCAACATCATGGCACACGGGTAGTAACCCATAAGTGCTCCATTCTATTTCTAACTCAAGTCCGAGTCCCAAGAAGCTCAGGACAGTGCACAGGCTCTGTTGCACCGGCGAGGATACTGAAAAACTTCAAGTAGATTTTATACTCCAAAATTTGCCCGGGCAGCACTGTTAGGCTACTCTTTTCAATTTCCAACTGCCAATGGATTTTTCACGTGCACAACGATGCACACGGGCATCCGATCTTACTACCCATAGACCAAGTAAAATTACTAAAAAGTCCAAGCCTACGTGAAAAAATCCTAGCTCTTACTGGGGATTGAACCTGGAACCTCTAGCACTCGAGGCAGACACCATGCCCCCTTGAATACTGAGGAGAAAGGTCACAGGTGCCAGACATGCTATATATAGAAATAAATGCACAGAATGGATTAATCACTTAGAATTCTATGTGACATACAAATGGTACAAAAGGATGGTATCTGAAAAGAGATACAGGAAACAACATGCATACATTTTACACAAAAAGTTGAACAGGTACATTAGATATAGCATATTAAGAGGCTAAAAGGCACATTCCACTCACAACCCACATTTTGCATTTCATCTTACATTTTATCTTGAGGCCATTTTGTTGCATCTTTGGGTAAATGTCTCTTGACAATTAAATGTAGGGACAAAGAAACTGGTAGTGTCTCTGAAAAAAACAACCTTCATTTAAATTGTCAATCCTATTAGAGTGTGAGATATTTCTTTGAGCGGTAAGAAATTATTTACTGTTACAAATGCAGGTAGACGAAATTGTCTATCTAACACAAGCTATTTAATATCAGAAGACACAAATATATATATATGTATATGTATGTATATATATATATATCAACTGTTATGGTGATGTAAGAAAGTGGAAGAAGCTATGTGAGATAAAACCAGGTGCAATGAGTTCATCCTCTTGACCTTGACATTTACAACAGAAAGATGTATTTCACCAGTGCTTTGAAACTGAACTATGTGCTTCACCAGTGCTTTGAAACTGAACTATGTGCTTCACCAGTGCTTTGAAACTAAACTATGTGTTTCACCAGTGCTTTGAAACTAAACTATGTGCTTCACCAGTGTTTTGAAACTAAACTGTCTTGTTTATCCAGTCAAAATTTGATAAGCACTAATATCTGTTGTTATAAAAAATACATATCTTAGTGATTTCTCAGCCTATAATTGATTTAAGGACTTTTACAACCAACTCATAACAGAAAGAACAGGTTTCACATGTGTTTCGAAACTAGAATGACGGGTGTAAGTAGGCAGTTAAAGTAGACGGATGTTATTAGTGAATACTGTCTAGCATCAGGTAGATGTTTTCAGGTTTCGGAAGCCATATTTGCTGTCAAGTAGCGATGTATACAGCCTAAGTTGGCATTCAAAGTAAGTAAGGGGTGTGTAGGCATGTTGCTCAACTCAGTACTCAAGAAGTACGGTAACAAACTATCCTAACATAATAAAACTAACATTTTATTAAATAAAACAAAAAAGATTAAATATTGCCAGTCACTAAAGATCCCAGCCGAGTGGCAACAGGCACTAACAGTACCAATATGGAAAAAGAAAGGTAATAGGAGAGAATGTGAAGCACACAGAGGTATATCACTACTGAGTCATGTAGGAAAAATGTATGCCAAATTAATAGAACAGAGAGTTAGACTCACAGCTGAACAACAGCTGAGTGCATCACAATTCAGTTTCAGAAAAGGCAGAGGATGCACAGATGCATTATTCACTCTGAGGCAAGTGTGTGAGAAAGCCATTGAGTATAATACCAAACAAAATATTGTGTTTGTAGATCAGGAATAAGCTTTTGATAGAGTAGAAAGAAACAAACTGTGGTCTGTTCTTGAGAACTACGGGGTACAAGGAAAATTACTAGAGAACATCATAGCCATGTACCACACAAGCCAAAGTGCAGTAAAAACACAAGGCATATCAGATATGTTCACAGTCAACACAGGTGTTAGACAAGGATGTGTGCTCTCCCCCACTTTTATTTAACATCTATATAGACAGAATATCTAAAGAAGCAAGTTATGATACAGACAACATAGACCTTTATAATCACGAGAAAGTACACACATCAGGAGAAGTAATCGATTCACCCACATTAAAGGAACTACTGTTTGCTGACGACCAGTGCTTATTCTACCCTGAAGAACATAGACTGCAAGACCACATTAACAGGTTAAACTCAGCATGCAGTAAATACAACATGAAGACCAATGTAAACAAAACCGAAACAATGCAAGTTAGTAGAACCCCTGCCCCACTACACATATAGCTGAATGGTTCTGCCCTGAATCAAGTTAGGGAGTTTAAATATCTAGGAAGTATGTAAATGTTCACAGAAGATGGTAGAATTGACATAGAATTAAAAACCAGATGTCAGAAAGCAAGTGCACTTATATACCAATTGTCACCATTATTAAGACATCCAAGCATAACTATGAGTGCAAATAGACAGATTATTAATAGCATATTCATTCCAACATTAAGCTACCAGTGCCAAACATGGACGCTATCTAAAGCCCATATACGCAAAATTACCACCTGCCAGATGAGGTGCCTGAGAAAAACAGCCAACCTAACCATAAGAGATCGAGTGAATAATGAAACTATCAGGCAAATTGTGGGAACGACACCTTGTTCTAGATTCATCGAGAAACAGCAGATCAAGTGGTTTGGCCATCTTGTTAGAATGCAGCAAGATCAAATACCATTACAAGCACTACATCTCAGATGATCAACTACAAGAGCAAGAGGGCGGCCACGGAAAACATGGATCGACAACATTAAAGACACTCTACGCCTTCACGGCATGACAATACAATAGCCAGTGGCAGTCAACGTGCACTGGATCGCAAATTATTCCTCCCCACGCCGCTTAACGGCAGAAGCGGATTATGATGATGACGATGACCAATTCAGAAGCACAGAAGGAGAACATGACAAAACCTCTAGAAAAGGCACTATCTGTTTTATTTTCCCGAGACACTGAAATTCGACGCAACTCTTCAACTGCCATTTTGACGCTACAATGAAACTAAGGACAACAGTTAAAAACAATAACTTTTATACAGAAAGAAAAGAATATTTACGGGATGTAATAGGTTCATTGCTGGAGTATTTTGTTGTTACTTCATTGCAAATGAAAAATAATTAAATTTTCTTATTTAAACATTTCTTTTTTTTTTTTTTTTTTTGTATACATTATTTTAATCAAAGGACAAATGATTCTTTAATTATAAGAAATCCCAATTTTAAATACATTTAAGATCAAAGTTTAAAGTTCAGATGAGAGCTCAAAGTTTGGGTTGAACCCGAAACACCTTTGCCTTTACATGACTTGATTAATGCAGTAGCCTTGAATAGCATCGACATCTCTGTAATTTAGCAACTTTTCATGCGTCTTGTAAGTACATTTGCAAAATTAAGACAATTCTGCTCATCTGTTTACCCGAGAAAGTATTTCGGAACAATGCGCTTTGTTCGTTTTGAAAGGGGTGGACGCCAGAGTCTGGGTGTAGAACTTGATGATGGTGGCGACGTAGTGGACCTAACGGCTGCTGACGCATCTCTAGCCACAAACATGAAGGATTTCATCGCTGCAGGCGATCTTTCCATTTCCAGAGCAAGGAGGTGAGTCATGTCTGTCTGGGTGCCTAGTGCTTGCAATAACAATTTAGAATATAGCAAGCATGTCTTTAATTGCTTGGCTCTCCTTCGATCTCCCCCCTCCCCCATATTAATACCCTAACAGAGCCTCAGTCGTGTGTAAAATGCAGACTTCCTCAGACGAACACATCGCGGCAAAATTAGGATTACTTTACAATTTCACCACACGCAACACTGCAGACGATACTAGCAGATGATAATAGTGACTTTTAACAACTTTCTAACAACTTTTCAACAACTTTAGCGACTTTTGAGCGTTTCTGCAGACGATACTAGCATAGTGTTCTTCCGATTGAACTCACCGCCGAGCGTATCCCTCGTGCCACTACGCACGGCGCAGATGGGGATCTAAACTAGATGCCTTGGACTTACGAGCAAATAAATTGGAGTAAGTGGCAGGAGATGCTGTAGCTGCTGCTCGTGAGTCCCAGCTATCTAGTTTCGCCCCCCCCCCCCCCATCTGGGCCGCGTGTATCAGCACGGGGGATACTGTTGGTGGTGCAGCATATTTGCAGAAACAGGTCCGCAATTAACATATCGCTGAGACCCTGTTAGAGCATTTATTTCGTTATTCGGAGCTGATCTTAGTTTTGTCGCGATTTGTTCCTCGGCAGAACTCCGCAATTTGCAAATAACTGAGGCCATGTTAGGGTATTTGGCTGCCATAATATGGGGGGGGGGGAGGAGATCGAAGGAGAGCCAATTTCTAAAAATATTTAGAACACAGAGATTCTCATACTTTTTTAGGCTGATGCCCTCAGTCATTTTCAGAGCGCCCACTGTTGTTTTCGGTCAAACAAACGTTAGTTTTCCCCCAAAAAGTAGGTCATGTTCCATTGATAACTTTCTTGGACTGATCTTACGTGCTGGACGTTACGGGTGTGCCGCTCTGTTATTTGCTTTCTGGGATTTCTTGCATTTACTTTTTTGTTCCGAGAAAGAGAATGCCTGTGAGATCAGTTTCATCACTCTCTAAAGGGGTTGGGTGTCAGACCCAGTTTGTTGATATTTTTGTAGTGTTAACCCTTTGTTTTTCAGATGTCTAGCCAAAAAAACGGAGCATTTTTTCAGTAAATTTGGTTATTACTTTATTTTATTTTTTGACACATTTCTGTTATTCTGACCCCCATGAAATAACATATCTGTTTGAAGGATATAGATTGAAGTTCATGATTTTCACATATCGTTAAAAGAAAATTAGAATGTGTATATGCAAATTATCTCATTTACAACTAATATCAAAAAAATTTTAATTGAAAAAATTATTGATCCTTGCCTTTTTACAAATGTTTGTAAGCAATTCATAGTCAAAAACAGGTATATATATATATATGAAACAGCAATAATATGTTTGTTGTCATGTGTAAAGCTAATACAGCAGTGAATATGAATGAATCACTTTCAGTGTTTCAATGTAGGAGATTTCTTAGCGGTTCGTGGCGAAACACGGTCGGGCCGATGATCGGCCGTTCTGTGTTTTTGGCCAGACATCCACCGGCGATAATCGGCCCGTCCATGCTAAGAGAGTTAAAGACGCTGGAATGCTGAAATATAGAAGACACGTTATCAACAACATTGGGAAACACCCCCAACACCTTGTGCCAAGGTCGGGTGGCTTAAGGTTGACCAATCAGAAGTGAGCTAGGCTGAAGGTCGACCAATGGGAAGTGAGCTAGTGTGTATATGGGTGGTCCCTGGGGAAACCAATGTTACTATTACCTTATTTTCATTTCTGTCATCACTCATCCCAATGGAAAGTCTCTCTTTCTCTAGCCAGTTCTCCAGCCCTGTGTGCTTTCATAGCCAATGCATCTTCAGTGTCTTGTATCCATCTTCACAGAGGTCAGCTTCTGCCTTGCTTTCCAGAAACGGTATGCTCCCTTACTATTCCGTCCAGGCCACCATGAATACACAACAAATTAAAAAATAATCAAATGGGGAAAAAGATATTCTGCATAGTAGTAATTGTTATGTTAAGCAGTTAATTCAAAAGACTGATACACCTGTTTAAAAAAAATTAAAAGGGGGGGGGGGGGGAGGGTGGTGAATGGTTAGCAGTGGGTTTGGATGATATTCAGTGCACAGTGGAAAAGAATAAGTATTTTAAATCTGGTTTCAACTGACACCATCAGAATGCAAACTCTTTGTTTTGCTGCGGAGAAAGAATCTGAAATCGAGTGTACCATGTGCGTTGATATCAATTCTTGAGTAATAATTTATTCAAAACTTTGCAGGAGTTTAGAAAGTAAAGAATAATGTTAGAATATTTTTTGTGTTATTTATGGTTTTGTTAATCAGTCTTATGATCAGTAGTTGCCACTGATGCTAAACGGCATACATTACATTCCATTGTTGAAATTAACTCATGGCGGTCTGTTGCCAAATAGCCTGCAGCTGAAATAAACTAGGTATTTCAGAGTTATGAACAACATTCATTGCACCTTAGCCACAGACATATCTGCCACTTTGGAGAACACTGATTTAGATAGATACTTGTCTTTTTTTTTAATATATCCACAAACCTTACTTACTTACTTAGTCGCTCCTCTTCTACCTTTGGGTGTAGAGGTTTGCCAGAGAGATCGCCAGACGTCTCTATCAGCAGTTTTCTTTCTGGCTTTGTTCCATTTCAGTCTTCTGTCAGTTAGGGACTGTCGGATGTTGTCTTCCCAGCGCACCCTGGGTCGTCCCGGAGGTCTGGTTCCCTGGTTCTTAGCCTCCCATGCTTGCCATGGTGGCCGATTTTCTCCCATTCTGCATACATGTCCAAACCATCGTAACTGTGACTGATCTACTTGGGTTAGTAAGGGCTGGGTATCAAGATCTTGACGTATTGTCTGATTGCGGACTTTGTCCCTTCTTGTCACTTGGACCACCTTTCTCAGGTATCGTATATCCAGAAACCATGAGTTCTTAACCCTTTGGCTCGGTACTATGGATATCGCAACCCTTCGGCCTTGATTCCATGATAGATACGGTAAATCTGGGAGAAATGTGGCTTTTCTGCCTACCCCTGGGCGTGAACCTTGACCACAAGAAGTTCATCACCCGGTCGTCGTGAGGTCACGTTTAGCCAACTACTGCTAGTGAGCCAGGCAGATACTTTGATAAATTTAATATTTTCATATCACCATCTTTTCCTACTACTTCCTATGTGGGTTTCAAGGTTAGTGGGGATAAACACACTGCATTTTAACAGTCATGTTGTAATAGTCGGCTAAATTAGGGGTTTGCGGAAATCAGATATATTGGTCCAAAACCCGTAGATATCACTGTCTAGCTGTAAACCACAATGCAATATGTCAGCTGTCTAAGACTATCTCTACTGGGAAACTGCTGTAATCTTCTGAAGTTCTGAAATAAATATTAACACTATTGTTAACTCACACTGTCAGATCTGCTGTTTGACTGTGTTTCATTGGTACCTATTGATGTGGCTATCTGTCTGTTTGTATATGTAATGTCTGCCATTCAGTGAATGTTTGTATATTTCAGCATTGTTGAAAGTGGCAAACATGTAGTTCCACGTGATCAGCTCAAGCTTCTTGCGCCTATAAATAATCCAGAAAAGCTCATTTGCATTGGAATGAACTACGTTGACCACTGCACTGAGCAAAACATCCCTGTGCCAACGGAGCCTGTGGTGTTTAGTAAATTCAACAGTACAATCATTGGACCTACAGACAATATTAGATATCCTGAAGAAACTAAGGTATCCTTATATAGCTGTTTTTGTCTTTACTTTGTGTGTGTGTGTGTGTGTATGGGTGTTTTATAGTGCAAGCCAAATGTTTAGACTACCACAAATAACTAAAATGAGTATTGTTTTTTCAGAGAGGCCAAGAATAGTATAGTGTTGATCATCATAGCCTGAGGAAAATTTTGAACAATAATTGGGATGAATTCAGAAAAACAGTTGTAAGACAAAGAAGATGGCACTATATTGGACACTTCATAAGCAGAAACGAGTGAATAACCACCAGACAGGCACTAAAATCAGAAATAAAGTGATTGAGGAAGGGAGGGTACCCGAATGAAACCTTAAAATGAACGTTTAGGAGAGAGGCTAAAGGTGCTGGACTAGATTCCATCCATGGTGTCGAAGAGATTGTGCAGGATAGCACTGAAGAGAGAAATAGACTGTAAACCATATGTGACATATAATGGCACAACAGGATAATGATGATAATCCTCTTCATAGCAACCCTGTTTCCAAAACTGGACATTAGTTTTCCTTTTAGTAAAAGTTTCATTTCAGTTATTTCTGCAGTTTCCCACTTAACACATCAATATCCTACAAAATTCCTGGCACCCTATTCTAGGAACCCATGACTGTCCTCACTCCCAGACAACTGGCATAACAGTCCCACCATTAGCACTAGTCACACTGCTGAACTTGTACCCATCTTGACCCCATATCTTGACCCCATAGCCACTAAGTTCTGGACCTGCCTCATCATTATACCATGTATTCTGTTTTTGAGCACTCATCTGGAATATAGGTATCGTCCAGAAAGGAAAATTTGCTGCTCTGTATCTTCAGAGAATAGGGGCATTTGAGCTAAAATGCTATAGAAAGATTCTCAGAATATCTTGGACAAAGAAGATGAGAAATATTGACATCTTAAAAGATCTGAACATCAAGGAAGATTGGCTAATAAACAGCATCCTTTCTCAAAAGCTGAAATATTTTGGTCATATCAAGCACCACGACGGATTGGAAAAAAATTAAAGCAGAAAGCATGGTACCAGGAAGGAGGGGCAGGGGCCGACCGACATGGAGATGGGCACAGGATATAAGTGACTGCTTGAGTGTGAAAGTGCATGAGGCGGGAGAGCTGGCGAGAGACCGAGTTTCTTTCAGGCAGACTGTGATGAGATCGACGTTCTGCAAAGGACCTGCTACATGATAATGATGATGATGATGATATCTTCAGTTGCATTCATATGCTCCATGCACAGTGGCAAGCATCGCTTCAGAGGTCCTGGGTAGTTAGCGTCCTTTGCATATTTTATCCAGGTCATGGCAGTGTTTTAGGAACTAAGCAGGCAGATAGAATTGCTGGTTCTACACCAGGCAAAATTAGATCATCATGGCCTGAGAAGAATGGTGCAGTGAGCAGTGACCAGGGGATCTGGCCACTGCTCGACACTCACAGAAAAGGCAAAATGAGTATACAATCAGACTGTTAATGGTATTATCAGAATTAGAATTGTCAGCTTGCTGCTGAAGATGGGGATGAAGCGTTTATGGGAAATATCAGAGTGATGCGATGTTGATTCTTAATTTAACGTTCAACATTCTTCTGCTTTTGCATTTAAAGGATGATTGGCTCATTGTGTTTACTTTGAGTACTATACTCACTAAGCGGCGTCCGTGGCTAAGGGGTTGCGAGTCTGACTCGTAATCCAACGTACCGCGATCGAAACCTACGTGGGCTGCGTGGATTTTTATCGTGGTATGGGACGTCGCAGGTCGACCCAGCCTCAAATGGGTACCAGGATGGGCTGTCCTGGGAAAGTAAAGACGGCTGGCGTAATGCTGACCACATTACCCACTGAGTGCCGATTGGTCTGTAAAAATATGGGTGCTCTTCCCATATGCCCGATGCGCCTAAGGGCGTGTAAAGGGATCTTTACTTTACTTTTTACTATACTCACTAACTGCACAAGACTGCAAGTGACACCAGACTGGGATAGCAGTTATCGGGCCCTAATTATAACATTTGCTACATTGAATGGGTTATTCCTGTAGGTCTACCATCTAATGTGTTTTTGGTCTTAAGGTATCATACTTCCTTTATGGGTTCGGGGTCATATTTTAGGGGAAAATAATAGCCGCTCTGTTCCTGTAACAAGCATTCATAAAAGTAATTTAATTGGGTGTGTCTTTCGAAGTTGGAGTGCATCTGACTAAGAAGTGAGGAACCAGCAGCCTGCATACAAAGTAAAACAGATGTGCATGCAAAACTCATGTTCTGGAACAAGAACTAAGTCCAGAAATGGATGAATAACCAGATCTTTTTGCCAGAGTTTATAGCCAGTCAGTGTGAAGGAGGAGGAGAAGAAGAAGAAGAAGAAGAAGAAGAAACAGAAGAAGAAGGAGGATGAGCAGGAGCAGGAGAAGGAGACATAAGAAGTAGAAGAAAAAAGAAGAAGAAGGGTGGCCTTCAGACCTTCAGGTAACAGCCTGGAGGGGAAAATGTTAGCAGGCAGCCAATGTCAAGTCTTGAGCTGCCGTAGAGTGAAAATATATTAAAGTTATGGGGAAATATAAATAGGTATTAATGAAACATTTTCTTTCCCTTGGCAACTTATGAATGTGAGTCATTGACTCTCACTTACTCTTTAAAAAAGAAAATCAGAGCTTTTGAACTGAAATGCTACAGAAAAATTCTTAGAATACAGTGGACCAAAAAAGAATAAAAACATTTACCTCCTGCATAACCTGAACATCAAGGAGAACTGGCTTATAAACAGCATCCTCTCACAAAAGCTGAGGTGTTTTTGACATGAAAAGTGCCATGATGGTGTAGAAAGAGCAGCGATGGAGGGTACAGTTTCCGGAATATGAGGCAAAGGTCCAGAATAAGAGGCAGAGGTCAAGCTCTGTGAAGGTGGACACAGGACATTGAAGATGCATTGGCTATGAAAGCACACAGGGCTGGAGAACTGGCTAAAGAAAGAGAGACTTTCAGGCCTGCCCTGAAGACAGCAACATTCTGTAAAGACAGCAACATTCTATAAAAGACATACTGATTGGTTGATTAAGCATTTATCTCTTTTAATATTGTTACATTTCAGCAACTAGACTGGGAAGTTGAGCTTGTAATTGTTATTGGAAAGAAAGGAAAGAATATTAAGGTATGTATACATGTTTATAAGATAAATGTATGTAGTTAATAAAATAGTGTATATTTTTACTGATGTGAATCTCTCACACAAACACCCACACACAGGTGCAGAAGAAGAAGCTGTCATTATTATTTGAGAAACATTGCCTCCAGGCTTAGTGTGTGATTGTCATCCATGCAGTGCCAAACAGTATAAAATTAACCATCTCATCAAACATGCAAATAGTGCATCACCATTTCAAGTGCATAGAAAATGCTAACAAATGTCTGTGAATATTACAGAGGGAAGATGCACTGAGTCATGTGTTTGGTTACACTGTAGCCCATGACGTAAGTGCCAGAGACTGGCAGATGCAGCGCAATGGTGGTCAGTTTCTTATTGGGAAGAGCATTGATGACTTTAGCCCACTGGGTCCAGCCATTGTTACCAGAGATGCCATAAAAGGTCAGTACTTATTACACAAGCTAGTGAATGAACAATATAACTAGAATGTCCTTGCACTTGAACCCACAGGGGCATAGAAATAAAGGAAGACCAGATAACACATGGAGAAGGGAGCTAAAGAGTGAAATTAAAAAGATGGAAAGGACATGGGGAAAGCTGTATGCAATAGCAAAGGATAGAACGATTACCACTTGGTTGAGGTTCTGTGCTCCATTGGGAGTAAGAAAGGCAGAAGAAGAAGAAGTGAATGTGTTTTACAATGTTTTAATTCTTTTATATTTTATATTTGTAATGAATCAAACTACTTAGTAATAGTATCATAGAAAGATATAAAATCAAACGAACAGTAAATAAGCAAGCTTCACAGTATAATAAACACAAATGAAACGTTAACATTGCAGCTATGGAGCCTTCATCAGCACATACATAAATCAAAAATACAAAATAACTTAATTAGGTATCCTGAAGCAGCCACTACTTAGTAATAGAAATAGTAATAATTAATGTGGAAAAAAAAAAACTGTCTTTACTGCACCCCTGAGTCTGGTTAGCATTTTCCTCTTTAACCCAAGCAGAAAAATAATCTTCATCTCTTACTGAGGATCAAATTCAGGTTTTCTGAATGAAAGCCTAGCACTCTAACAATTCAGCCAGCTGCTGCTCCTAAATATGAAAAGTTAGTTGCATGTCCTTTACAGGGCATTGCAGAAAATCCCTATAATTTTTTGGTTGTTTATGGTTTCATTAGACAATTTTACGTTCAGTACTTTCCCCATTGCCTTCTAAACAGTCGGCTCTCTATACCACTGCCGAAACCAACGCAAGGTACTCTGCTGCCAAATCGTCTGCAGTTGGGATTAAACCTAGCATTTCAAAGTGTGTACCCAGCACCTAAGCAGATGCTGACCCTTAGTATGGAAGAAATACATAATTATAATGTTGATTGTAGTCATGCAGGAAAGAACTGTTTAATAATAAAGATGATGATGCATAAAATATGTTATTCCAATTGGCTAGAAGATGGTCTGTTAGCCTGAAGATCTTGGGCTCAGTTCTGCATTGAGGTGGATTTTGTTTTATTAACCTGGGCTTCAAAATTGACACAGTCTAAAGATGGTATCAGGAAATGTCCTGGAAATTCAAGGCAGCCAGCATAATGTTGACCACATCACCCACTGAGTGCCAGCTGGCCTATAAAAACATGGGTCTGGCACCATATGCCTGATATTCTAATGGCATGAAAAGAGTCTCTTATCTTTTTTCACAAACAGTTTTAAAGATTATAATACAATTACACAAAGATCTGCCATTTCATTTTAGCGTGTATAAAAAGAAATGTTTTCCAACATTTTTAGTTTCAAACTGATGCACGGAGTGTTATTAAAATGTTTCTTTTTTAATTTTGGGTTAAAAATATAGGGGTTATCTTTTACATGTAATTAATTATACAGATGAAGGGTCTGTGATATAATTTACAAAAAAATCCCCCAACTTGACAATGCAATCCTTTTTGTGATTCTAATATTTGTAAATTATAATGTGTTCTTTACTGTGACTGTTTCAAAGTATGGGATCTCTGGTCGTAGCTAATCGAGAAATAATGACTTAAAAGAGTTATTTATAAAATGTATAAAAACAAGAAAATCATCATCATCCTTTTGTTCTGTTTATAAGCCAAAAAACTTCACCACATGTTTCTACTTTCCATTACATCGTGTGCAATATTTTTAATATCAGGGGTGGAATATAGTCCAGCATCTTTGGCTTTTAGCTTTTAGCCTGTGAGAATTTAAGTTTCATAGAAAATGATTTTTCACTGAATGGACTGCATATCCTGGGTGTACCAGTTAATTTTATTTGATTTGCAGATCCACACAACCTGAGACTGTGGACGAAGGTCAATGGTGAATACAAGCAAGACAGCTCTACTAAACAGTTAGTGTTTAAAACTGAGGAACTGTTAGAATTTCTCTCAAGGTAACCATATCTTTGTTGATCTTCTTCTTCTTTGTTCACCCTTAAAAATATTGTGTTGTGGTTTACATCTAAGTGGCGATCGATGTCTATTGCCTTTCAGCCCAACACATCCAATTTCAGCAAGGCCTTAACTCTGTTAGTCCCACAAAGACCTAGGTAGTGTCTGGGGGAGTTAAGAATGGGTAGAATACTTCTAGAGGGGCCAGATGTACAAC